ATCCCGGCACTCAGGAAGCCGAGGCAGGCAGATCTTTGTAGGCCAGCCTGATGATCCACAGGGCAAATTCAAGTTAGTCAGTACATACATAGTGAGACCCTGTCTCAAAAACATTAATACTTTTTAAAAGACGCTGCATTGGGCTGGCAATGCGGCTTTGCCAGAACAGGTTGAGTGTCTGGATGAGAAAAGAGTTTCTGCTCTTGGTTTGCTTATTTGATGCCAGCGGTCATACCTGGGACTGCATTACACAATCCCTGACATCGAGCACTATTAAGAACAAACAACAAGAGGGTGTTGTCCTGAGTCTTCACTTTCTCCCAACTGCTCCGGTGTGTTACATAAAACACTAAAAAGCCAGGCAGTGGTGGCTATAGTTGGACTTTCTTTGAACCGTCAATTCCCAAATAATGACACGGAGACGTCTTATTAATTATCAGCGCCTGGCCTTAGCTTAGGCTTGTTCTCACCCAGCTCTTACAACTTAAATTAACCAATTTACATTAATCTGTGTTCTCATTAATCATGTGGCTCATTACCTCTCCTCCATACTATATGTCTGACTCCCTCTAAGTCTCGGTGGCTTAATCCCATACACCTCAGATTCTTCCCGAGTTCCGCTCTCTCTCAGGAAGTCCTGCCTATCACTTCTGCCTAGCTATTGGCCACGAAGCTCTTTATTAAACCAATCAGAAGGTGCCTTAGGCAGAGACACATCTTCACTGTGTACAATTATCCCACAAGTGGCCCAGCCCTCAGGAGGGAGGCATAGGCAGGCAGATCTCTGTGAGTTCTAGGCCAGCCTGGTCAGCAGAGTGAGTTCCAGGCTAGCCAGAGCTACATAGAAAAGCCCTGTTTCAAAACAAACAAACAAAAATTAAAGAAATGTATATGTGATATAGATATGATAGGATAAAAGGATAGATTATTGAATCTACTTTTAAAGAACAATAACTTGTTTGAAATGTTTTACATTGCTATGGATTTTAGTTTATTGGTATAAAGTTAATTTTGTTATACTGTATGTATATTTTTACTCTTGTTTAAGGTATTATGTTTATGCAATGCATTTAAAATTGTAATGTATAATTAAGAAATACAGATTAATAGTCATCTACAATAATCAAACTTATAGTCATATTAGTTAAGTTTTTAGGTATACATAGATATATTTCAATTAGGTAGATAATCTTCAAACACTTCAAAGACCTACAGAATATGGCATTTAAAATGTTTTTTAAAACAAGACTTTTAGGACAGTGAGACATGTTGGATGCTCCTGGAAGCACTGATTTACTTCAAAGAAAATGATGGGCATCAAAGAAACTCCATATGGAGTTTTCTTTCCTTATGGCAAGTTAGCCATTTGGGCAAGAAACTGTTCTTGCCTGGACTGCTTGACAAAATATTATATTGACTGGACATGCAGGACCCATAGAAAAATGACCACTAAATTTTGCCAAAATAAGGCAAAATGAGCCTTCAAATTTCCTCATTCACTAAAAAGTCTGCCAGAGACTCTTGGCCTATAGGCTGAAGATGGATGCCCCAAAGTTACAGAGGAACTTAGGGTAACTGTCCAGGCAGCCAGCTGTCTCTGTCATTTTAGATTTTTGGAAGTTGCTTACAATGTTCTTCCTGTTTACGTAGGTAATATTATATCCTTCTGAGGTCTTTGATGGAGTTGAAGACTAGATAGTTATAATTTTCCTTAGTCATGATAAAAGATAAATTAGATATGAAACTTTAGACTCACAAAAATTAGATGGTAGAATATTTTCTAATTTTGCCAAATATAAATAGACTAGATATTATAACTATAATTCTTGCTTGATAGCTGATTTGTTACATATAATTTTACTATGTTAAAGCTAAAACCTTACTTTTTGATTAGATAGAAAGGGGACGTGCTGGGGGTTATCTTTCTGTATGCTGTGAATATCTGTTGTTCCCATTGATTAATAAAATAAGCTGTTTTAGGGGTTGGGGATTTAGCTCAGTGGTAGAGCAAACCCTGGGTTTGGTCCTCAGCTCTGGAAAAAAAAAAAAAAGCTGTTTTGGCCTATGGCAAGGCAGCTTAGAGGCAGGCGGGAAACCCAAGGAGAGAGACAGGAAAGAGAAAGGCGGTCTGAAGAGACACCAGCCTGCCACCCAAGAAGCAAGAGGCCAGACCAGTAAAGCCACAGGACACATGGCAAAACATAGATTAATAGAAATGGGTTAATTTAAGATATAAGAGCTAGCCAAGTGGTGGTGGTGCACCCCTTTAATCCCAACACTCGGGAGGCAGAGGCAGGCCAATCTCTGTGAGTTCGAGGCCAGCCTGGTCTACAGAGTGAGATCCAAGACAGGCACCAAAGCTACACAGAGAAAACATGTCTCGAAAAACAAACAAACAAAAAAAATATAAGAGCTAGCTAGCAAGAGGCCTGGCACAGGCCACACAGATTGTAAATAATATTAAGCCTCTGAGTGATTATTTTATAAGCGGCTGCGGAACCATGGGGCCAGGTGGGACTAGAGAAAACTTTCGACTACATGTATGCTTTAAAAAAAAAATGAAAGAAGGGGCTGGAGAGATAGCTCAGCACTTAACAGCACTTCCTGCTCTCACAGGACCCGAGTCTGGTTCCCAGCACACACATCAGGCAGCTCACAACTGCCTGCAACTCTAGCTCCAGGGATCCCACTCTGGCCCCAAAAGGCACCTGCACACACATGGAAGACCTTCACGTAGATTCCCAGATGCGTGCATGAGTAAAAATAAAATTTTTTTAAAAAGGACATTTTTTTAAGATTTATTTTTATGTGTGTGTATGTGTGTACAGGTATGTGCACATGTGCAGGTGTTTGTGGAGGCCGAAAGAGGGGTCAGAGTCCCCGGAGCTGGAGTCACGGGTGGTTGTGAGCTGCGTGACATGGGGGTGGGGTACCACCAAACCTGATCACTTGAGTTCAATTCCCAGGGCCCACGTGGTAGAGGAGAAATGACTTCCCATGTGTTCTACAGCAATTCTCTCTCTCTCTCTCTCTCTCTCTCACACACACACACACACACACACACACACACACACACACACACACAGATTTCAACAAAATTACCGAACCAATTGCTTAAGGCCTTTCTCCCTCTACATCTGCACACATGCATTTTTCTAGCCATTTCAATAGACCCCATTTACAGGGGAAAAGAAATGTAACCCTAGCCGTGTCTGGTTTTACCTGGATTATGATTCTGTCCCAGGCACCTCCGGAGCATTATGAGTATGTGGCCTTGGTGTCTCTACGCCCGTCCCTCTTGCAGGATTACAGGGGTGAGGCAAAACAAGCCTGCTTGTCATCCTGCTTTTGTCTAGTACTTCCATAGATGAGGCAATACACCTAGTGTTTATTCCCATCTTAGTGAACGGAGGGGTCTAACCCCAGGGCGCTGGGGTACGCCTGGGATCCCTGCCCGTGCAGGATGGAGGCATGGCGATCCGTTCAAGGTCACCTGCAGCTACATCGTGAATCAGAAACCAGCGAAGGCTACCAAGGAGATCCTGACACACACACACACACAAAGATCGAAACGAGTCACACAAAGTTGGGAGTCTTCCAAAACGGACCCGACATGTTGTCCCAAATCCTGACCGTGTCGGTGGAGAACGCGCGGGCGAAGGAAGCCAAACGCTCTCCCCCCGCACCACCACCACCACCACACCCCGCTTCCGCACGTCCCGACCCGGGTAGCAGCGCCGGGGGGTCCGCAAACCGCTCGAGCGAGGGGCCGGGTGGCTCCCCGGGATGGCCCCGGGGCTGCGATCCTTCCCGCCGGCCGGCATCCGGGCTCCCGCCCACGGCGCGCTTTCCGGCTA